AAGGCTTAGACGACACATTTGTTCTGTCACAGTTCTGCAGATCAGAAGTCAGAACAGGTCTCCTGGGGCTAACATCAACTGTGGGTAGCCACCCCACCTAGATTCTGGGGGCAGGGGATTGGGGGTTTGTTCCTTTGTCTTTCCAGGCTCTAGACACAGTGTCCCGGGAAGAAACGCAGATGGCAAGTGGTCCCCAGACCCCAAGTCAGGCCCCCGGGGAATGGCACCAGCAGCCTGGGGTTTAGCGAGCCTCTGGGGATTACTGACCCCACTCATGCTTGCTGGACAGCACTTTCACCACTGTGCAATGTCCCTTACCTCTGGTGGTGCTGTGGATCTGAGTCTGTTTTGTCCAGTGTTGATGGAGCCCAGCTCCCTTTGGTGACAGCAGGCACAAATCTTCGAATGGCTTTCTTTGCGGTTGCTGTAACTGGAGGAAGGACCAGAGGACTCACCGATGACCCGTGCTGTGGCTTGTAGGGCTTCCTGTCAGGAACTGAAGTTCCCCAAACATGAAAGTGTCTTGGGGTCTCCAGCCATTCCACCCTGATCACACCTGATCTCGTAAGCTAAGCAGGGTCGGGCCTGGTTAGTACTTGGATGGGAGGTAGGCTCAGGTTTAAACTAATACCACCCTCGGTATTTATGTATTTATTTATTTATGAAGTACTAACATGGGCAGACTGGAACTTGCGATCCTCCTACCTCAACCTCCTGAGTGCTGGGATTACAGGTGTGGCCACCATGCCCAGCCTCTCACTATGCAGTACCACCGGCTGGCTGCCTGTCAGTCTCTGGGAGTTTCCTGCCCCAGCACCCACCTTCCAGACTCCTTGCAGGTGGCCCCTGCTGCCTCTAGCTCTCCCCCCATGGGACAACTTCCCCTCCTGTCCCCCAGATTCTGGCAGTTAAGCAGATGCTATTTTGGTTCCCACGGTCCTCACTGCTGTCACAGAGATGAGTCCCTGGACACCGTCTCCTCCAGCAGCCATGGCTATGGCAGTCAGCCACCACTCAGCTGCCCAGAGGCATTTTTGTGACCACCTGTTCTCTGGGTGGAAGTCATGGTGGGAGTCACGTGTGTTGGCCTGTGTAGGGCACCCATAGCAGGAAGAGCAACCACACAGGGTGACCAGTGAGTGACGCTGGTCACAGGAGGGCCACTGTAGTCAGACCCCCCCATGCCCCATCGGCGTGAGCTTGAGGTGGTCAGGACCCCCGTCCTGGTGCAGGAGTTACTAGTCTTCAGAGAACTGGGCTCTGGGCTGAGACCTGAAACTCTCACTCACGATGAACCTTTGCAGCGCGATGGGAAGTTTGTTCTATATTAAATGTTCTTGTCTTGATTTGTTTTATTTTAAGGTTGGCGCAGAATATTCTTTTTATGTATGTGTGAACACATGTACGTAAATACATACGTGATGGTGAATTAATGGTAGTTTTTACTAAGCAAAGATGTGGAACCAATCGTGGCCCCCCCAGGGGTGTTTCCCATCTGCCCCCCACGCCATGCTTTGGGGGCCCTCAGCTCTGAGCAGGTCCGGCAGGTGTCAGGCCCCATCCTCTCTATAAGGGCAGGAGAAATTGCCCATCATGGGAGGGTCAGTCTGTGTTGCAGTAGTGGTTCTGGAAGGTGTGGCCAGGATAGGGTCACATGAGATTTGGGGGTCCATCCATGGGGTCTTGAGGACCATACAGCCTAGCTGTGTCCCGCCCTTGGGCTCTGGCTCTGTGGACGACACAGGATTCCCAGCTTGACATCAGGTGGCCCTTAGGTGGAGTGGCACCTGAAGGTGTGACATCCTGTGCTTCTCATGGGGACCATGGGATCTGGGGCAGGTGTGGCCAGCAGAGGGCACAGTTGGCCTGTCACAGACCATCCACGATTCACGTGAGCCAAGGTGGGCCCTCGATTTCACCTCACGTTGCCTGGCCACAGCAGGACCTTCATTCAAGGTCTTTACAGCAGGATTTCTTTACAGAATCCCCAGCCAGGAGATAAGGCCACAGGAGGAACCATGTTCAGGTTCAGGGTTGGGTGCCCGTCCCTCTCCTGAGCCCCAGGTTTCATTTTTCAAAAGCACACTGTGACCCAGGTGCTGGTGGCTCACGCCTGTGATCCTAGCTACTCAGGAGCCAGAGATCAGGAGGATCATGGTTCAAAGCCAGCCCGGACAAATAGTTCACGAGACCCTATCTCGAAAAACCTTTCACAAAAATAGGGCTGGTGGAGTGGCTCAAGGTGAAGGCCCTGAGTTCAAGCCCCAGTACTGCAGAAGATAAAAAAAAAAGCAGACTATGGTCCATCAGTGATGTTTCTGTGATCACCTTGGCATCTCGGAGCTGAGAGCCCAAGCAGCTTTGCATCCCAGGCCATCTGCCATGTGTTCCAGGCCTCACGCCCTCCTTTTTCCTTGTGACCTTGGGTTTCTCCCTTATTGGTTCATTTGTCAACCTCTGCTTCTTTGTAGGTGATAGATAGGATGCAGAGTAGTCGCCTGATGGTAAGTGGGAGGGTGACCCTGCTCTGCCAGCAGGAGCCTGCTCAGCCCTCCGGGTCTGCTCTGAGAATCCCCTCCGGCCTGACTGTCCCGGGCTCAGCCTCCATCCACTGCTTTTGCAGCACTTGGCAGGTCCGTCCCAGGCCCGAGGGAGGAAGGGCGCCTGGGAGCTTCACGGGTACCCACTGACATCCTCTGGTCCTCCGCGGAGGGTTTGGGGATGGTCCACCTGGGCCGCTTCGAGGCTCAGTTACCCCAGTGTGGCACGGGGGTTGCGGGTCAGGGCCTGGAGCTGGAGGAGATGGGAGTGGGGTGACAGCTGAAGGACACAGGGGCCCCTTGGGGACAATACAGATGTTCCTGAACCCGATGGAAGAGGTGGCCGCACGACACTGAAGCCAATAAACGCCACCGAGTTGCCTGCTTTAAAATGGTTCATTTCGCGTGATGTGAATTTCATCTGGGTGAAAAATGGAAAAAGAAAACCTGAAAAGAATCAGCTGGACGTGAAGTGTCGAGAGCAGCAGATTTGTGGGGTCACGGTGGACTGAGGCTGAGGGGGGCGCTGATGGAGGCTTCGGGGCCCCTTCGGGGTGGGAGCTGTTCTGAAGCTGACCGTGGCAGGTGACACGGCCCCGCATACCGCAGCCCGCGCGCTGTGCTCCGTGTCAGTCAAGTGCTGGTGAAAGCATGGCGTGGGCCCGGCGCTGGGCAGAGGCGAGTCACTGGCCACCGGCCGGCCGTGGCTGTGCTCGATCTCTGCTCCTCAGGAGGCTCGGCCTGGCTCCAGCTCTGCACTGGGGCGGCTTATGTTCAGGCCAGCACGGCCGCAGCTTTGGGACGTGGCCGGCCCACGCGGGACACTGCTTGGGCTGGGGGGTCACGGGGGTCAGGGGTGGGGGGAGGGCTCACTGCAGTTTTGAGCGGCTTCCTGGCCACACTGACCCCCTAAATGCTGGTGCTCAGAGCTCCCACGAGCTGCACCAGGGCGTTCTCCTGCCTTCACGCTGTCTGGGCCGCTCCCCTGGGGCAGGAAGCCCTCCTGGGCCTCCCGAATTCGAATTCGGGGGAGTGGAGACCTTCCTCCAAAGTCCCAGTCGGTTTCTGCAGCGGAGGGAACCTGAGGCCAGGAGCAGTGACCTATCAGTTGATTTGTTGTTGATAATAAATCAGGTATTAATGAGTGCTTTATTAATGGGCCCCTGTTTCACTGTAAGCACAGCCATCAGGTTCCCAGGGAATCTCTTCGAAGGTTCCATGGGCCGTGAGGTCACAGCTACGTTGAGAGATGACTGTCTTTTTGTGAAAGCTGTTTTAGCACTTGGGTTTTTTCTTTGGGGCGTGGAAGGCAAGAAGGCCTGGAGCAAGTGTTAGAGGAAGACAGGACCACAGTCCAGGCATCCTCAGCTTTCTTCACGTCCTGGATACCTGCGTGTGTCCAAGGCCGTGCCTTGTACGTCTGTATCTGACTGGAGGTCATCGCTTTATTTTCTTCTAGAAATACCATGTCTCTTCACATGGCGGTGTTTGGAAAAGAGAAAACCAGGTTTTTCCAGCAGCGTGAGAGTTTGTAGGGTTGGCTGGGGGCCCCGGGAAGAAGGTACTGTGTGAGATCGGGTTGGCTGTGTAGCGGGGACTGATATATGGCTGAATGTGTATCCCCCCTATTAAAACCCAGGCCCACCTGGGTTGGAGAGAGAGCTGGGAGTGAGGCCTTTCGAGGGTGAGGAGGTCATGGGGGTGCAGCCTGCACCCTTATTCAAGCAGGGCCCCCAGAGCTTCCTGCCCTTCATCATGAACGGTCACAGGGAGAACGCCCCAGGAAGTGGGACTCGCCAGCACCTTGACCTTGGACTTCCTACCTTAGAACCGTGGGAGTGTGCCCACCTGGGGCATTTGTTACAGCCGCTCACAGGGACTGGGGACCGTGTGCAGGGCCTGCAGGGAGAGTGCTCTTTGTCTGTGGCACTGGTGGCTGTGCCCTTTACTCCATGTTGGGGACGTGGTATCCCAGCGCCTCGGGTGGGAAGAGACGAGGTTGGTAGGTACCCAGGGCCTTGCTGTACCCAGGCCCCACACAGCCTCGTGCTTTACAGAGAGAGGTGTGCAGACAGCCGCAGCTACATGGTCTGTCTGTCCACACACGGGCTGGGTGTCCTTCTGCCAGCCCTGACACCACCCACCACCTGCACCTGGGGTCCCAGGCAGGGCTGCTGGGTGGTTGATAGGGAGGGAGGCATCAGGACAGGTCACACAACATGGACTCACTGGTGGCCCCTGTCACTATCCAATGTGGAATGTGGCATTTTCCATCTTGGACTGTTTCTGCACGTGTGGGGCTGGTTGGTTGGTGCCAGAGACGTTTGTTGAATGAACAAACACGCAAACAAGATCCAGAGTTCTAAACGCAGCCTGGCCCACCATGGAGGGACCCACATGGAACCTCAACCCTACCCATTTGCTTCCTGTCACCCTTCACTGCTCCTCCGTTTCCCCTAGGACCTCCCACTCACGGGCCAAGGCCGAGGCAGCCCTCACGGCCGCCCAGAAAGCCCAGGAGGAAGCTCGGATCGCCAGGATCACTGCCAGAGAGTTCTCGCCTTCCTTCCAGCACAGGGAAAACGGTGAGTCCTGCTGGGCGCTGAGGGGCTCCGAGCGCGGCCGTGGGCGGCTGGGCGGGCTGGGCACCCCACGAGGCTGCCTGGGGCTCGGGTGGGTTTCGCCCCGCAGCTGTCACCGTACCAGTGTCCTCTTCCCTTCCTGAAGCTGGGGTTTCTACCTGTTCCGCGCGTGCTGCCCCCCCCATCCAGGGTTATTCTGGCGCTTTCTGTAGTTAAGGAAATACCATTTGCTCTGTCCAGTGTGGGAGCCTAGGGCAAGAGTGACCGTGGAGCTGAATTAGTTTTGTTTTATCTTAACCCACTGATTAAAGACCAGCAACCACCTGTGGCCAGTGGCTGCAGGACAGGAGAATCTGGAATAGTGGGTCACGGCCCCTGCTGTGTGGCCACTGCCAGTCTCAGGGAGATGGCCGGTCCTTCCAGGGGAGCATCTGAGCCTCCAGGGTCCCACTGTCCGACTGGTGGGTGGCAGAGAGCATGTGGTGGCAGGAGGCCACCAGTGCCACAAGCCTGGCCATCTCACAGGGTTACCAGCTCCATCCCAAGCCCCTCCGGCCTCCCTGGGAAGGCACCTCAGCCCCACAAAACCTGGAGAACAGGGTCAGGGTCACCTTCACACCACTCCCAGCCAGCCACAGGTGTGAGGGGTGCCGGCAGACAGGTGTGAGAGCTTTGGAACCGGACTGTGTTTTGATACGGCCACCCTGAACGGGCTCTGGCCTCTGGAGCAGTGACTGGCAGAACTGGGTCAGCAGATCAAATCCGAGGCCATTGATCTGGGGGCTCGGCCCAAAGCCAGCTCTGGCGTCTTACCTGTGTGGTGGCCCCTGGCACCTCTCCCCAGGGGGTTTCTGGCATAGATGGGGAAGATGGCCATTGTCCCTTCTCTGCACCTTTCCTTTCCTTGCCGAGTCTGATGCTCCAGACTTGAGGGAAGGTCACAGGGGCAAAGCACCCCTTGGTCTCTGCTGGAAGGGCCTTGGTGGCCTGTCAGACTCAGAGATGGCTCCAAACAGGTCTCTGTTGTCCCTGCCCCTTCTGTCTGGACATACTGGGCCTGGAAGTATCCACATTGGGAGGACACAGGCCACCTGCCCTGTGCTCAGACCACTGGGCACTGCCTGCCACCCTGCCACCAGGCAGGTGAGCCACAAGCAGAATGTGTGGGGACAGAGCAGTGCTTAGCACCATGGTCCCCAACCCTGGGTCACTGGGGACAGAGCAGTGCTTAGCACCATGGTCCCCAACCATGGGTCACTGGGCTCCAGCCCTCTGCGTCAGTAGCCAGTTCTACTGCTGGGGGCCACTTCATCGCTGCCGGAGCCTCAGTTTCCCCATCTGTGAAGCGGGGCGAGATGCTGTCTGGGGCTTCGCAAGCTGAGTGTGATTTGGCAGAAGGCCTGGGTGGGCGGAAGGAGGATCTGGGGATGAGGTGGTCATGGAGCGGGCTGAGAACACAGGCAGGGACAGAGTCCCTGGCCACCAGAAGCTGCAGGGAGGGGAGCCTGTGGTAAATCCCTTCCCTGTCCTGCAGGAGCTGGCCCTGCCACAGCTGCCCTTTGGACCTCTGGCTGCCAGAAGCTGAGAGAAAACAGTTCTGTTGCTTTAAGCCCCTAATGAGTGTCCATGGGGTGGCCCCAGGAGATTGGCAGAGGATCCTGCAGCCCTGGAAAGCAGGGCTGCTCTGCCCACAGGCACAGCCCCTGCTGTGGAGGCCCCTGCTGTGGAGGCCCAGCTGAAGCCCCTTTTCCATTCAGAAGCTGCCTCCTTCAAAGGAGCTTCCTTAGGACAGATGAAGGAGGCCTGTGGGGCTGTGGGAGCCACTGCTGGCTCACTAGGATGGGGCCGATCACAGGGCCTCACCTCGCCTCCTGCTGCTGTTCACAAGTCCTGCCTGACCCTGTGTGCTGCCCCCTGGAGGCAGCCTCCCTGGCCTCTCCCCTGCAGCATCTCCCCCTGTGGGGAGTCTGAACCGTGTGTTTTTGTTGTTATCCATGCTGGCTGGTCTCAGATGCCTTCTGGGATTTGTCTTCCTGACATCCAGGCATTTCCTGTGTCCTCCTAGGATGTCTTAGCGATAAATGTTCCTGACAAGGGACAGTGGACAGAGCCTCTTCCCCTCACTTGGTCCTCTCAGTTTGCCCTTTTTTTTTTTTTGACGGGTGGAGGGGAGTAGAATACTGGTGTTTGAATTCAGAGCAAGCGCCCCATCACTTGAACCTTTTTGCTTTACCTACTTTTCAGATAGGGTCTTGTGATTACAGACGTACACAGCTTGTTTGTATTCTTTTTTTTTTTGCAGCACTGGGGTTTGAACTCAGGGCCTCACACTTGCTGGGCAGGCGCTCTTACTGCTTGAGCCACTCCGCCAAGCCCTTTTATGTGATGGGTTTTTTCAAGATGGGGTCTGGTGAACTATTCGCCGTGCAGCTTACTTGGAACTGAGATCCTTCTGATCCCTGTCTCCTGAATAGCTAGGATTACAGACGTGAGCCACAAGTGCTCAGCCCAGTCTTTTGAGATAGGGTCTTTTTATTTTTGCCTAGGCTGGCTTTGAACCACAATCTTCTTGTCTCTGCCTCCACTGTAGCTGGGATTATAGGCATGAGCCACCGCTCCTTTGTCAAGAGGAGTCTTGACAAAGCCTAAGCTGCCAGAGAATGTTCCTGCCCAAGGGCTTGGGAAGAATGTGGCAGAACTGGGACTTAAAATGAAGCCTGGTTCAAGCCCAAGCTACACCCGCTTCTAAAGGAAATTGTCAGTGTTGCAGCTGGGGGCAGGAATGCCACCCTCAGCATGGGCTGTGTCGGGAGGACACTGACCACCAGTGCCTGAGAGACTGGGCCACTCAAGACTGTGTCAGGGAAGTCAGTGCCTAGGTCATCCTGCTGATTCTCCCACCCCAGGGTCAGGAGTGCCAAGTACCCAAGTCATCCCAGGCCTGGGGCAGAGCAGGCAGTGCCATGCACCAGCTCCAGTCATGAAGAACCACCTGGTGTCTGAGCACAGGAACTGGGAGTCCCAGTCCTAACCAGGGGTGGGGTCAGCGAGCCTGGTCCTGGGCCCTGACCTTGGCCCTGGTGGAAGGCAGGTGTGGTGAGAGGCCCGGGCCTGGCACTTGTGAATGGACTGCCTGCCCCCGCCTCCCCGCCACACACACACACCTGGTCCCCGCCGTGTGGCGGAATCACACCAGCCTCAGCCCTGCATCTGGGCTCTGTGACCACAGAGGGCAGTCACTAAACAAGACCCCAAAGGTGCCTGGCCACACCCCCACGGCAGATGGGATGCAGGCTTAGGGAGTGATCGTCACAGCCGCACCCGCTGTGTCACTGCTGCCTCCCAGGCACCCGAGAGGGAACCAGGGGACAGTGGCCTCGGGCTGTCGGCCTCCTGTCTGCGAAGTGAACATCTATGGATGGAGGGGCCTGGCCCGTACTAGACCATGTCACCGTCCCCTCCTTCCTGGAGGCCAGGTGCAAACAGGGAGCACGGCCGGGCCTCAGGCTCCAAGGAAGCTGCTCCTGGTGGCCCCCCTGGACTTCCAGAGCCCTTCTGCTCAGGCTGATGGGGTTTGAGAGCTGAGACTCGACTCTGCAATGAATGTGTAACTGCTTACCGTGAGGGACGGGAAATGCCACCTCTGCTCTTCCTACCTGAAGAAAACCTAGCCAGGCTCCCGTTTCCCTGTGCTGGAAGTACCATCTCGGTCATGTGGGGTCCTCCCGTGCGCGTCCCAGAAGCTCGTCCTTGTCTAGGCCTTGGGGCCGGGGATCACTGAGACAGAGCCATCTCCAGACGCGGATGTTACCTGCTGGTGCCCATCTGGCCCACAGCTGGCCCCTGGGTCCCAGATCTGCTCCCTTAAACCCAGAGCTTCCTGCCTGTGAGTCTTGGGAGCCCAGACCCAGACATCAGAAAGGGAAGGGAAGCCAAACTCTGGGCCTCACACTGGCCCCGGCCCCAGCGAGGAGGCACGGGCCCTCCGTTCCACAACCCTGAGGCACAGGGGTCCTGGGCAAAGAGAGGGGTTGGTGGCCTTGCCATACTGTCTCCCCGGGCTTTAGGACCTCACAGGTCAGCTAATGTAAGACCAAGGGACCAGGGCTGGGAGCCATCCACCCCTCTGTTGTGGCCTGGGCCTACCCTGTCACCCTTACTGCCACAGGTAGGGACTTTGGGGCTGCAGTCACCAGCCTCCTCCTGCCCAGCCCACCCGGTAAGCAGGCGCGCACTGCCCGCGTGACCTCTGTGTGCCCTTGTCTCCCACCCAGGGCTAGAGTACCAGAGGCCGAAGCACCAGATCTCCTGCGATGACATCGAGGTGCTCTCCACGGGGACGCCCCTGCAGCAGGAGAGCCCCGAGCTGTACCGCAAAGGCACCACCCCTTCCGACCTCACCCCCGACGACAGCCCCCTGCACAGCTTCCCTGCCAGCCCCTCGGCCACCCCGCCACCGGCTCCGGCCTCCAGGAGCAAGGCGGCTCACTTCTCGCGGCAGGTGTCGCTGGACGAGGAGCGAGGTGGGGACATTCAGATGCTCCTGGAAGGCCGGGGAGGGGACTATGCCCGCAACAGCTGGGGCGAGGAGAAGGCCAGGGGCTCCAGGGGCGTCCGCAGCGGCCCACTGCGCAGTGGCCAGCCAGCCGAGGACTTCCGCACCCGGGGCTCGGGCCACAAACAGCCTGGGAACCCCAAGCCCCGGGAGCGGCGGACGGAGTCCCCCACCACGTTCTCGTGGACTTCCCACCACCGGGCGGGCAACCCCTGCCCCGGGGGCTCCAAGCTGCCGGAGCAGGACGAGGAGCAGCTGAGCAACTACAAGCTGGAGATGAAGCCCCTGCTGCGGATGGACGCCTGTCCCCAGGAGGCGCAGCCCCAGAGGCGGCGCCACAGTCGGGGCGTCGGGGGCGACCGGCGCACGGAAGACCGGGCTTTCGGGCTGCAGAGACTGAGGCCTAAGGCCCAGAACAAGGAGAACTTCAGGCCGGCCTCCTCCGTGGAGCCCACGGTGCAGAAGCTGGAGAGCCTGCGGCTGGGGGACCGGCCCGAGCCCAGGCTGCTGCGCTGGGACTTGACCTTCTCCCCACCCCAGAAATCCCTGCCTGTTGCACTTGAGTCTGACGAGGAGAACGGGGATGAGCTCAAGGCCAGCACGGTAGGTAGCACCTGCGCCGTCCTGGGGCGGCAGGAGCCCAGAGTTGTCTCCCAGGACCTCTGACCTGGGGTCTCCTGGAGGCTTCTTTGGAGTTTTTGCCAGGGGTGGAGACAGCCAGGAATGGTGCGTGTTTGGGCCGAAGGCTGGGACCCTCCCCATGTCGGGCGGCGGGTCGGGGGACATGCTTTCGTCAGAAGGTCCCTGCAAGGGTGCCGCACGGGTTCATCTCTTTAGCAAGCACCACGGTGGCTTTGGAAGCTGCCAGAGGGAAACCAGGCGGCACTGGACCCTACCTGGCCCACTCCAGCTGCCCCAGGGCTCACCGCTCCTGGTCAAGGGCCCTGCCGTGGCATTCGTGTCCCTGCCCAAGAGGGCAGGCAGAGGACCCGGATCAGAGGAGCCCCTCTGTGCAGCAATCCTTCGTCTTCCAAGCACCTTTTATTTGTGTTAGCCTCTGAGCCAGGTGCAGGGTCCAACTGTGGAGTGAAGGTGACCTGCTCCCGAGGAGCTGATGCCGTAGAGACTGAGAAATCCCGGCTGTTCCTAACTGGGCAGCTGTGCACTTGTGGCTCCCGTCCTGGGGAGGCTGTGGTCCTGGAACAAACGCAGCCTAGGATTTCGTGGGAGGCTGCTAGGGATGCAGGTTCTCGGGCTCTGCCCTGACCTTTGGGACACTCCCACGAAGTCCCCCTTGCCAAACAGGCCACCCCCCCATGTTTCCTCCTCCCCCAGGGTGGGCAACAGAAACCTGTCCCGGAACCAGGCTGGGGTGAGGGCACCAGAGGGTCCCCAGCCTCCTCCCTTGAGTGAGGCAGAGGAAGGGAGGGCCAGCAGAGTGGAGGCCGGCGGTGTCGCTGTGGATACAGGAAACACCCTACGTGTTGGTGCCTTGACTTCACTTGTCAAACAAATCCCAGTAGCTGCCTCGGGGGTTGTGGGGGACGTGACAAGCTTGCTACTTGGGGTGCTTGGTGCACTGTGCAGCCAGGCGGCCAGGAACTGGTCTAGGCAGGTGGGTAGGCCCCTGTGTAGAGTTATCATGGTTGCTGTGGAAAGGGTCAGTGTCCACCCCAAGGTGGCCTAGGGAGCTGTGGGTTTCTGTCTGCCCCACCCTCGGGAGGGTGAGATGTATGCAGGAAGGAGCCTGCTGGTCTGCTTAAAGCCATTGGGAACATCTGCTCTCCTCACTGCTGCCTGGATCCTAAAATGCCTCTGCTACCCCAAATACCTGCAGAGGGCAAACTGCATGGCTCCTGCTGGGGGTCACAAGTCCTGCTTGCACTCCCTGTCATTGTCCCTGTCGGAACCGCCAGGAGTGTCTGTGGCTATTTTAGGCACAGCAGAGTGACGGGCAGGGGTGGGAGATATGTGTTCTGTATCCAGCCCACTTAACCGTGTTGGCTCTTGTGCGCGCTTTACGAGGCTCTTAGGGCTGATGCTGGAGTGTGGAGCCCAGCTTCAGGCTGGCCTTGAGTGTGCAGGCAGCCCTACCTGAGGCCTCCTCTGGGTGATGGTCTGGTACCCTCCCTCACCACCACAGCCCATTCCGGCCCCACGCAGGAGCCGAGGGAGACTCCCATGCTATCCTGGGTCTTAACTGCTTGCTAGAAGGCAAATTGCCTTCCTTTGTTTCCTGGCCCCTCCTCACCCCTTCACCCACACCACGCTGCCTGCTGAGTGTGAGGGGAGATGGGGTAGGCAAGGCACAGGTGCTCCTCAAGCACTGTCTAGGAAGTCCAGTCTATTGGAGACGGGAAGGTGCCCTGCCTCCTGCCACCTGAGTGGGATAAGTGGCCTGCTGAGTCTCCTCCCCTCCCCCCAGGCTCTCCATGATTCAGTCCGTCCTGCACAGGCAGCAGAACACCCTCTGGCCAGTGACATTCCCACCTCACCCAGGGGTCTGGCAGCTGGTGAAGGGTAGGGGGCTCCCCAAGCTCATGCAGTCCTCTTATGGCTGTCCCCAGCCCGAACAGCAAGTCCCCACAGTGAGGACAGTAAGGATGTGTGTAGGAAGGACACTAGCCAGGATAGGGCCAAGGGTTCTGGCCCATACAGGTCCTGGCAATTCTGGGTGGTCACCATGGGTGGGGACATCTGGGTTCTCCCTCCAGTTCTGCCAGTCAATGAACAGCATGGCCCCCAGTAGATTCCTAGATACTGCAGGGCCTCAGTGTCGCTCTCTGAAATGACAGGTGTGGCAGGAGTTTCCTTTAGGGGCTGCAGGTGAAGCCTGACGGTGTGTCACCAGGATGGGGTGTATGAAATGTGGAGAGCTGGGGAGATGATACACCCAGCAGGCCCATGTCCCAAGGCAGCCCCTGCCACAAGCCCTGAGCTCCTGCCTGTCTGTTGGTAAACTAACTGGGCTGGGGCTAGACAGTAAGCAGGTAGTGACTCGCACAGCCCTGCCCTGGCACAGGCAGGTGCCAAACCAGAGCCTTTCCTTCCGTGGGAGCGGTAAGAGTTACTTCACCTGGGTATCCTATCAGTAGACAAGGATCAGCCCCTGGCCAGCTCTGCTGCTGAGGTCCTTGCCCTGCGCCCCTGCAGGGTTGGCTCAGTGCGAGTACCATAGTCACCCCAAGGCTGTCACCATCTGGCTCTGAGGCATCTCCTCACCCTGGGAAGGCACATCCTGGGATGTTTTAAAAGCCACGCCTGTAATCCCAGCACTTTAGGAGGCTGAGCTGGAAGATCTGAGTTCCAGACCAGCCTGGGCTACCAGAGACCATTAAAAAAAACGAAACAAAAAACTTCTGCTGAGCAAACATTATTCTCTTTAAAAAATTTTCAAGCCACTGTCTTTCAAGCAGACATGGAAGGAAGCCCTGGAGAGTGGAGTCCCTGAAGCCAGAAAAGTGACCATAGAGGGGTGCTAGCTGGAAGGGGAAGGTGCCTGGTGGGCAGATCAGGGTGCTCCCTACACTTGGTGCAGAGTGGAGAGCGGCAGGGCCTGTGGGTCTGGGAACCAGGCAGACCAGGCTGCAGATGTTGGTGATTTGGAGACCTGAGGCCTGAGTGTCTCTGCGATTCTGGATAATGAGATTTGCTCATTAGGCTGCTGTCAAGTTCAAATGTAAAACCACCACCAGGATGAGCGCTGCCAACTGTCTCGAGGAATGGTGCAGAGGGGAGAAGCATGTGCGCAGCCGGTTAGGCAGGTGTCCTGGAGGAGCAGTGGCCGTGAAGATCAGCAGCCCTGAGAGACGGGGGCTGGGCAGCTTCACGACATGACAGAGGAGAGCTGGCTGAGAGGTGTGGGTGGCAGCTGGAGAATGTGTGAGCAGACCAGCCTTGCTGGGCAGCCATTGGGGGTCTGTAAACCGGGAAGGGAGAGGGGTTCCTAGCAGTATGGTGAAGGACTGTTGCAGGACACCTAGCTGCCCAGTTACACAGGATGAATGTGGGAGCGGCAGCCAGGGCCTTGAATAGGGCAGTGATGTCACCCAGCTGGGGGAAGGGCAGTTGGGAGAAGGATCCACTGGCTGGCTGGCAGCTTGGCAGGAGGAAAGTGAGGGTGAGTGCCTGTGTGGTACCTTGGCTGGGTGACGGAGCAGCTGTGCACATCAAGACATCCCAGGCCTCTGGAAACATCTCTCCTCCTGGCAGCAGGCTTCTTTCAGCTGACAAGTTTTTGGGGAGAGAATTCACATACCATGAAGCACTCTTCAGAGCACAAACTCAGTGGTTCTAGTGCTCATGAGAGACCCCGGAACACTCCACTGCTGTGCACTTTATTCCCTCCCTCCCTCCCCATGCCCACCCCAGTACTGGCAGTCATGGACCTGTGTTCTGTGGATCTGCCCCTGCTGGACATTTCATATCCACGGCCTTCTGCCTGCCTTCCCTCACTCAGCACCATGCATCTCGGGCTCATCCATGCTACAGGATCAATCAGAACCTGGTATGCTTTATAGACACACGATTTGGACTTGGTGCGTTTCCACTTTGACTACTGTGTGTCCTGCTGCTGGGTGTCCGTGTGCAATCTTCTGAGTGTATGATCTCATTTACTTTAGGGGTGCAGTTGCTGGGTGGGTCATATGGAAATTTTGGTTAATCTTTTGGGGAACTGTCGGAGTGCTTTCCAGTCTCTCATTTGAGAGGGGAGCCGGTGTCTCCTTTGGGGAAAGGCATTTCCAGGCCCCTTTGATGTCTTCACCATAAGCCTGACACTGTAGGGACTGACCCAACCTAAAAAAGGCCAGCCCTGTCATGCATGTCTCCAGGTCTGGCCATGAGGACCTGGAGGAGGGGAGGGAAACAGCTGGCTCTGGAGCCAGTGGGGCCTGACCCTCACAGCAAGGGCAGGGCTCCTTTACTGCAGTCAGTAGGGGTGGTGATGGGTAAAACTGAGGTCCAATTGAAGTCCACCTGGAGTGACTATACCTGCGCCCATTCCTGCTCAGTGTGAGCAGTCCACTAGCAGGGTGTGGTTTGCAGGAGTCATTGCCGAGGGGAGCCAGGTCCTGGTGTAGGTCAAGAGGAGGGGAGCCGGCCACAAGACTGTGAGCAGGAGCCTTGTGCTCCAGAGAGGGTCTGCTGGACTCAAAGCAGCAGGTGAAGGCCCCTGGAGTCAGTGCAGTGTCTGGAGTTTACAGAGGACTACTGGAGAGCGCTGTGTAACTTCAGAGCCACTTTGGGTGGGCCACAGCTGATGCCATGTGGGCAGGCCTGAAACTTTTGTCCCCATTCTCTGGATCCCAAGTCTATGGAGCCAGAGGCAGGTGCCCACTGTCCAGGGCCCTGGCTGGGTTCTCTCCACAGAGTGCCAGGGAGCCTTCCACCACCTGTAAGGCACGCAGCTGCCTGTTCCAGGAGGTCCCGCACCTGGCCTTTGTCACGGTCCCTGCCCTCCCCGCCTCTGGGCACTTGTTTTCTTGGGACCCAGTCAGGGCCCTGAGGAATCACCTTCACCTCTCCTCTCTGTTCCAGGGCTCAGCTCCCATTCTGGTCGTCATGGTGATCCTGCTCAACATTGGAGTCGCCATTTTGTTTATTAACTTTTTCATCTGATGAGGTTGTTGCGATGGCTGAAGTAACAAGTGTACAAAAAGGGAATCCTAACTCAGACAGCCCCACAACTTCCAAGTCTTTTCACAGAAGAACAACATGATTGGGTATTACTCACAGTTTGCCTTTTTTTCTGGGTAATGTTTTTTGGATTTTAGCCAAAATTCTTTGCTTGTATAACACTATGCTGTGTGGCATGGCAGGAGGCCAGCACGCCGACCCTCCAGCTTGATGTGGAAAAAGAAGGGGTCCTGGCAAACCAGAAGCAAAAAAGCAATGGTCGTCTTCATCCTCGCCTTTCTAGTTGGGGTGTGAAAGGTGGCGGTGGCCAAGGAGGAGTCCCCCTGACAAGGGTGCCCGGTTAGCCAGGCAAGGTGCTGACACACAGTCAGTTAACTCTGTCTCTCCTGTTTGGAATCGGTGACGAGTATAGGCATGGGGAATAGGGTGTCCCACCCCGGCTGGGAGCAGCCCAGGCCTTTTTCTACCTTAACTCTGTGCTGCATACTTACGGGAAGAGAAATGTTTTCTCTTTCCCACAAAACAGACCACGACCCCACCCCTCCTCTTCTCAGCACTGCCCCTGGCCCTCCTTGTGAGGCTGTCTCCCGACACCGAGTCTTAAAGTCCTTATTCTTCCCTGCTGTCCTCTGCTCACTCGTTGTTTGCCCCGTCCGGCCACCCTCCCTCCAGACCCAGGGAAGCCGTGCTGCTGATGTTCAGGGCTGACCCTGATCCGGTGGGCACATCTGAACACTGATGCCATGGGGCTGTGCCCCATGCCATGGACAGTCCAACAGCACGCCTGGGCTCTGAGCATGTGGCATTTTTGCACTTAGTATGCTTCCGTGTCCCTGGCAGTGACGCCCCATGGCCGTCACCTGTTACTGACCTCCACGGGGTCTCCCATCTTTGCACTGTGCCTGCAACTTCTTGTAACAGATATGCAGATTCCCTCCAGACTCCTCAGTGCTACTCCAGAGCAGGCGTGGTCCTGGGACAGTGACTTTGAAACCCAGTGGCTTGAATTTCCTGGAAATTGTTGCATCTCCCCCACCAACCCAGATGTACGTAACTTGTTCCAGTCAAACAAAAACAGGTTCCTTATGTCTCTGCCTTCTCTACCAGGGTTGTCTCCCCATCCAAACAAACAAGGGATGCCAGAACCTCTGGGGCCTGTGGCCAGCTCTCACGTGCAGACATGCCTGGGTCTGGCCCGGGCACGTCAGCATGCGGGGGCCCTTCACGTGATTTCCCATCAGTCTTCTTGGGTGCAGCCCGTCTTATGGACTCTGCCTTGCTTTGCTTATGTTTAGCTGTTTCTCTGCTACCTTTCGAGCAGATTTCTTTACTACACTGCACTGGATTGCTATATTTTTAATCAGAAATAAACTAAAGATTAGAGCATGTTCCAGTTACATTCAGTTTTATGGTTTTCCGTTATCCATCCACTGCCTGTTCCTTCTCATGGGTCGGTTTGGTTTGGGGACCTAGGGGAGGGAGACTCTGTAGGTGACAGTGCATTTCTGATTGTTTCTAGGGGGTTTACATCTTTTTGTACATCTTATTTTTCCGTTCCTTTTTTAATATCAAGTGGTTGCTGCAGACCTTAAGTGAACCAAATAAAGATTCCTGCTCTTTGCAGCTCTGAGAATCATCCATGCTGGGATATGTGTTTTGTAATTCTGTCTGCAATGACCAGAGCTGTGTATGTTCCAGAAACAGCATGACACAACAGGTTGTCTCCCCACGCAGGTGGCACATCCGCACACACACACACACACAAGAGACACACAGCATGTGTGGCTTCGTGCCTAGGTGGCTCTCACAGGGAGTGACCAGCATGGCACTTGTCTACCACAGGTGACACAACCATGACACCAAACCCATGGCCAGTGTTGCACCAGCAGCCTGCCTGTGCAGAGAGCAAAACCACATTCCTGGTAAATTTCAGGATTTATTGAGACTAAGATGCAGTGGGGCGCAAAGACTCTAGAAAGCTGACCTGCAGCTGGTTTCCACACAGCATGATTAAAGATAGAGGCACCCTGTCACCCCCGTGGCCAGCTCACTTTCTTTCCTACCTGTCCAGAGCCCTGGGTACACATTATGCTGAGCGAGAGGACAGCAGCATTCAAGGCAGATCATGTGGCCCGCTGGCTGCCAGCGCAGAGCATCTGACAGTTTTCAGACCCAGAGCAGACAGGTAGGCACCACTTCCCCACAGCTGCTTCTGTTCTCTAGCTATGAAAACTAAACAACTTTCCCCAGAGCCTGCCTCTGGTCCTGTGGGCAAAGGAACAGCTCACGCCCCAGGCTCACCTCTCCTCTGCACCTGCCCTGGAGGGTGGAAGACACTTGCTGCCTGAGGCTGGTAGCTGAGGCATAGTGTACACTGGCTGCCTTGTGCCTTTTGAAGTTTTGTTAGTGTGTAAAAAAGTGTTTGGATCATTTCAGGCAACTGGTAAATCCTTACCCATTCTTTTGGAGACTAAGTACTGTGGTCACGAGCACACAATTCCCAGAGGTACAGATTAGGCACACAGCACAGAGCCTGAAATAACTGATAAGGAAAATGGTGACACAGGAAAACTGTGTGCAGCTAGTGAAATACAATGGCTGTGCCCAGATCACTGTAGAGGACAGCCACCGAGACACAAGGCTGACTCACTCTCCCATGTAGTACAACCCCTCTTCACAAACGGTAACTCTTCTGTGAAACTCCACTGATGAGGTGTGAGCAGACGTGCATTCCTACACGAGCTAGGCCCAAGACTCCTCAGTGACACCTGAGGCAAGACCACAGGCCTGTCTCTCCAGTCTGCAACACCGCCCCCCATCCCCCATGCCATGGGTTTGGTGCTCAGATACAGGCAGGGCAGCTACACATCCTGGCTTTAATTCTGCTTGCTCCTGCTCACCTGCAAACGGGTCGAGTTTAGACAGATCACATGCCCCACCCCCCCCAATGAAGACTAAAGGTTGCTGCCAAGAGCCCACGGAGTGCTCAAATGCCCAAGGACTACAGACATCTAGCGCGCAAGTACTTGGGGGATCCGTGTTTTGGGGTTGAATCAGCACCAGTATGACTCCTGTGGGCGGACTGCTCCCGTGTCCCCTGCAGGCTGTCTGACCAGAGGCTGCTCTACTCACACACCCAGGAACTCTGATCTGCTTCAAGTCTTCCTGGGATGGCTGTCCATTCCATCGCACTGTGCAATGAAACTTCTCATGATGATGGCCGAAGGGTGAGGGCAGCTTTCTCTTCCAGATTAAGCTGCTCTGTTAACTCTTCTTAGGTCTCGCCTTTTAACTTGCCTTGTCTTTGGCCTCAGAAACAGCATAAAGGTGCCTACGAGATAGCGCGTCTCTGTTCACAGCTCAGTGCACCATGCAATTCATTCTCTCTGCAATCAACTGGCAGATGCAGCCAATGTGTATTTTATGATCCTGATAAACACCTCGGTAGCTGAGTTTATACGGTATCTCTAATCTTGTACAGGACAAGGATCTGCCTCCTGTGTCCAGATGAGGGAGGAGGGAGTGAGGCTCTGCTGTCAGTCAATGTGGGTGTTTGCCTGGCTCTGTTCTCCCGTCCAGGCCCAGTTGTGGTCAGGCAATGTGTCAGCAAAGACTGAACAAAAGCAACCTTTCTCCAAGTGCCAAGACGCATTGTCAACTCAGCCTTAAAAGAAGAAAAAGTACAGTTGCCTTTAAAACACAAAACAACAGCAAAGCTTCGTTTCTTCAGTGTACCCTGTGCCTGGGAGTGTGAAGTCAGGAACAGATGGGCATCTGAAAGGCAGAACAAGGCCGAGTCCCTGCAGCAGTCCTTCCTTTGTGAGGAGCTGGAGATCTGGAGAGCACAGGTCTGTGGCAGGAACAGTGGAAACTCCTCTAGAGCAGGAGGAATGGCTCCTGGAGGAGGCTTCAGTGTTCTCCAACTGTTAGCCAGCGCTGTTTCTCAAGTCTGTTTCTTCATGACACCTGCGGTGGAGGTGCCTGGAACATGACTGGGGTAGCCTGGCCACATCTTGTTCAGCTCCAGGCAGCTCTACCAGGGCCATACCAGGGGGTGGGAGGGAGCTCCAACTGGGTCTGAGGTGTCAGGGGCCCAGGGCACAGGTTTTGGGGAACAGCAGAGCAGGCAAAGAAGCAATCTCACACCTACCTCACTTTGGTCTGGTCTGTCCCCTCCCCCAACCATGCCCCACCTCAGCCATGTACTCTGCTCAGTTGTCCAGGTCCATGCTTACATTGACACTATCCCTCCACCATCCTTCCCATCCACCTTTGAGTCTTGTGAGGACACAGCTCTGGTTTCAGTCCAAACAAGTAAAACCTCCAGGGCCCTGGGGGGCTGAGACAGTGTCTCAGCAGGACAATGGTTCTCTTGCCTACTGACAGACCTGCGAGCACACTGTGCTTTGCCTGCCTGGTGACAAAGGTCAGGCCAGCACCAGAATTGGTTCCTCGAGATAGTGCTATGAATGGTCCCAGGCCTGTGGTAAGGCTTCCAGGCCCAAGATCAGAGATGACTTCACATTCCAGAACTTCCCTGTGAAACAGGGCATTGCCCACCAATGGCACTCATGCCCACAGGGTTCCTTCCCTCTCCTGAACACCATGCATTTACACGAGGGAGATACGGTATCCAGCCAGCTCACTTTCAACAAATGGCTTTCCCAGACCATTCTGAATCCCCAAGGCAGATGCTGGTCAGCAAGGAGGGCTGCTCTCTACTACAGAGTGGGGTCCCCAGAAGCTGGATTTAGGCTGGACGAGGATGTGAGGGTCCAGTGGGGGTGGAGTAGGATGGGGGCACCACCCTTACCCCTCTGCTGAGGCCCCCAGCTAGTCACATGTAGCTCCTGTATAAAACCTACCTTCTTTCTGAGCACTGCCAGATGAGGAAGCAGTGGCCTGCACGTCACAGCCTGAGAGCAGCCAAAGAGCCTGGTGAAATCAGCCTATGGGCAGGGGGGGAGAAATGAACCAAGCCTTGTATACACATATGAATAATAAAAGAAAAAGGAAAAAAAGAAAAGAAATCAGCCTATGGACAGCACTGCCTCATGCATGCTTAGCAGCTCCCTGCGCCCTCCCTCCTGCTCTCCCATGGAGCAGAACTCCAACACTGTGGCTGGACTCTACTCCTTCACACTATTCACCATCTCAAAAAAGACAACCCCCTGCAACCTGAACTGACGTCACTAGCAATGAGCCTCACCTGACGGGAAACCATGGTGTAGGTGCCTTTTTGTGACTTTGGCCCAGGACAGTCTTAATCTGCATTTCCTTTTTCCAATTTTTGTCTTGGTACATGTAAACCATTGGTTAATACAACATGACTGACTACTTTGTGCATACGCAGCAAGGGAATATCAACTATGTGAGTTTTCTTGTTAGTGGTGAAGCCCAAGTTACCCTGACCTCTTTTCTTATAGCTGGAAATGACTTGGTTAATGACAAAGTAGACAAAATAACCTCTAATGAATGCAATTGTTTAAACCATACCACCATCTACTTCACAATCTGAAAGCAAGGGACACTTCACGTTAAACAAAAGGTCTGCTCCTTTGAGTAATAAATGCCAGTGAAACTATGGAGGACTTGTTTCATCTCATTACAAGTATCTGTTTACTTGGAAGTTCCTCCTATCGCCAAAGATGCAGAATGGACAATGCGAACTCCTGCCTGAGGACCCGGGCCTGTTAGCCATCAGCGCCTCAGTCCCCCTGAGGATTCTGAGCAGGAATAGCATAGTGATGGTGGGTCTGAAGGCAATGCCTGCTCCAACATCTTCTGTAGAATTAACTACTTGTTCTTGTTCACTCACCAGGTGGTGAGCCTAAATACCTCTCCCACCAGCTCCTTACCTGTGAGCTGAGGGTCTCCCAGCACTGGCAGGCACCCCAGCCATAGCCTGTGCTACCTTGAGAGAGGATACGGGGATGAGCCCACAGGCTTAAACCTGGGAGCCAGGTGGGCAGAGTCAGGCTGTGCCCTCTAGGAAGGGTACCATATTTGTTTCTATCAGAGGCTTTTTAACCCATTTCTCCTCAACTCCTCTGAGACATCCCTGATCTTTCCAAGTGCTGCCTCAGTGGGCAGCTTGACAAGGGAAATGATGATCACAAGCAGAACTTAGGCAAGCCCAGCGCCTTGTTCCTGCACTGAGACCACCTGCTGAGACAGTTGGTGCCTTGGTTTCTCCCAGTGACCACTTGTGTCTGCCAGTATCACCTAGCCACTAAATTGTACCAATTCAATAAAAAGTAAATCAGAAGACACCACATAGAATGAACACCATCATATCAAAACAAACTGTTGATGAGGATTTCCAGGCTTAAATGATGGTGCCCTTCATTTTCATTCAATTCTATCCAAGCCCAAGAGATCCAATGCCTTTAGCCAATCCCTCAAACTCATCTTTCCCCAGTGGCCAGTTAGCTGCTCCTGGGAAGGGAGAATAAGGTACTAGGACTAGGCCAAGCATGGTGGCTCATGCCTGTAATCCTAGCTACTCTGGAGGCAGAGATCAGGAGGATCATGGTTCGAAGCCAGCCCAGGCAAATAGTTTGTGAGACCCTATCTAGAAAAACCCTTCACAAAAACAGTGCTGGTAGAGTGGCTCAAGGTGAAGGCCTTGAGTTCAAGCCCCAGTACTGCAAAAACAAAACAAAACAAAACCAACAAAAGATGTGGACATCAGAAAGATTTGGGTTTGAGGTCAGCCAAGGCCCCATCTCAACTAATAAAAGTTGGGCATGCCTGTCATCCCATCTGCACGGGACACATAAATAGGATTGTGGTTTAGGCCTGCCTGGGCATAAACATGAGACCCTACTTGAAAAAATACCTAAAGTAAATAGGGCTGGGGATGTGGCTCAGGCGGCAGTGCCAGATGAGCAAGTGCAAGGCCTTGAGTTCAAATCCAGTACCACAAACAAACAAAAACAGAAAACCAGAGAAGCCCTATTTATACCCTATGAAACTTGCCAAGGAGCCATAGCACTGCTGTCAGGTGCACTGGCTAACATCCTCACTAGGTGTCCAGGGGGTGATGAGGGCAGGAGGCAGGCCTTTTACCATTGGTGGGCTAGAAGAAAGGGGCTTACAACCACAAGAGCTTCAACCTCCAGAGGCAGGTGGGCACAGGACAGTCCATCGAGAGCTATCCCTGTTCCAGTAGCCCAGGGCATGCAAGCACTCAGGCTTCGTCCTAGCCACTGTGACCATGGTGCTACCTGGGCACTGGGGCCCTGAAAGATGCCACAGCTGCCTAGGACTGTGCAACCCGGGTCACATTTTTACCTCCCACTTCCACATTCGAGGTGTGCTCTTCCGTGCTTCAATCACAGCACCTGCATGGCTCAGCAGGCCTCTTCTGGAAACTCGCTTACTCAGCTCTTATTGAGCCTTGCTGGTGCTGTTGACCTCTCTCCATGCAATCTTCAGCAGTAACTATCGGGACAGGACAGAAAATGTTTCCATAAAAGGGGTCTGTTCTTTAGGGGCTTTGTATTTCTTCCAACCCGACTCCAAATTTCTTAAAAATTTCACCTAGTTATCAGCTCCTCTGAAAGAAAATGTCTCTGGTAACAGACACTGCACTGAGGCCAGCAAGGCTCCTCACTTCTTCCCCAGAGCAGGAGTGAAGAGAGCCACCAGACAGCTTGCTCTGTGGCCAGATGGGGTAGGAGCAGGTGGAGGGGGTGGAACTCCAACAGAGGTCCTTTGCCCTGGCCTCTCAGTCCTGCTGCTGAAGATTTTCCAACCGGCTCAGTCCAGAGTGTTGGAAAAGAGCCCCAAACACCCCGCACACAAGAGACAGTCCACAAACACAACATTAAGCTAAGCTTGAGCCCTCCTACCCAACACACGCTGCACACACAGCCCTCCTACCCAACACACTGCACACACACCCCTCCTACCCAACACACGCTGCACACACACCCTCCTACCCAACACACGCTGCACACACACCCCTCCTACCCAACACACTGCACACACACCCCTACCCAACACACGCTGCACACACACCCCTCCTACCCAACACACACTGCACACACACCCCTCCTACCCAACACACGCTGCACACACACCCCTACCCAACACACACTGCACACACACCCCTACCCAACACACGCTGCACACACACCCCTCCTACCCAACACAGTGCACACACACACAGCCAAGATAGCCAGGCTGCTGTTGACAGCACTGAGCACCTACCTCAGCCTCCCTGAATGTGAACAGCGGCTTGGCAGCATTCCTGGAGGGCACACTCTCTGTGGTCATGGCCAGTCCTAGGTCCAGATGCAGCAGGTAGGCAGGTGTTCCTCACTGAGGGCGGGGCAGGCGGCTTTCAACATATTACCTGCAACCTGTTTTTCCTTTTTGTGAGTTGCTGGGCATGGAACCAGGGCCTTGTACATGCCAGGCCACAACTGAGCTAAATGCCCCAGTCAGAGCCTTTGTTTCTAGTCAGCTTTCAAATCCTGTGAGAGAAGTCTGTGAGTGCAGTCTCACAGTTGGGCCCTTGTGGCAGCTCTGGTCCTCACCACCAAAGCCAAACCTTGTTTTGTTTTAGCCTTATAGACACCTGGCTGCTGCCTGGGGAAGCCCAACATGTGCGTTTCTGCTGAGTCTGAGGCTGTACTTCTGTCCTGACTGGACCTCAGCTTTCTTGGGAATGTTGTGGTGCTGAGAGATGACAGCTGGGAAAGCAAAAGTCTGTTTCCAGCCAGGTGCCCATCTTTCCCATTACAGCTCTCATGGGTCAAGCCCTACTCTGCCAGGCATGCCCACCTTTTGGTTAACTCCAAGTGATAGATGTGATGAATGTTACATGAAAGAAAACCACAAATCCTTATTCTCATGGTTTAAGATACTTAAAATGAAAAAAAAAAAGAAAAAAAGAAAAAACCCCTCAAGTATGAAATCAAAGCCCAAATTCTGGGTCCAGCTATGCAACTAAAAACTGGTCTTGTTCCATTAACTGTGGAGCAGACACTGGCCAGTGTATTTGGGCAGCAGACACCACAGTGACCAATCACCTGCTCCAGGGTCAGGTAGCAGTGGAGGCGATGGGAGGGGTGTGCAGGGGGCGGAGTATTTGTGCTCTGACTTCCCTTCCTGTCACGTTACAAATGACAAACCCACACCCGGGGATGGCTCTGCCTCTTCAAAGTTACAATAGAACAGATGTACACTGAAGCATTCTACCATGAGAGCCACAGCAGCCAGCAGAGAGCTGACTGGCTTAGGAATAGGTGCTTTACTTAAACTGAGTCGCCATTTGCAAACACACTGCAGCTGCTTCTGGGAACTGTTAGGATCGCAGAGACGGTCCCCAGTTTGATGACACAGGGTTCATCAGAACATAAGTCTCCTTGCTTTGTAGAAGGAGAAACCCCACCAAGCACCCATAGTCAGTTTTATTAGAACACTAACATGCTTCCTACAGGTCCCCCAGATTCACATCTTTCCTCAGGCTATTCTCGGCCATTGGCAAGGGCTATTCCAGGCCCTACCTCGAAGAAGCCACTGAGGCAACAGGTGAAGGCCTCACCAGCCTGACGACATGCTCAGCTGCACACAAGACAACGTTTTTAAGGGACCCCATAAACATCCACTTTATTTGAAATGACACCCAGGGAGGCTGAGGGAATTCAACTTCCCACCATTTTCAGTCATGTGGAGTCTTGAACTGACTCTGGAAGAATGCCTTGGTCATGGCATGGCCATCTTCGGTACCTTCTCCTTTGAATTGGGCTCCATGTGTTCTTGGGCGAGTGTCAGCCAGTTCAGTGCAGGCTGGGACAGGTAGTTGGAGTACTGCTCCCTGGGTACCACCATGTGTTACAGCTCTTCTCATCCAGAAGGGGAACGAGAGAGGAGCACACTCAGCCGTGGCAGCCTGCGTGAGTCGTGCAGAGGATGGCTCTTCACAGACCCTCCAGGAGGACGTGGCAGCACTGTACTCAACCACAGCCGCCCAGACCCCCTCCTCCACATGAGCATTGTTTAAAACTTAGGTCCGCCTCCAAAGCACATCTACAAAATAAGGCTGAATTCTAATGGAACACTCACCTTCCTCTTCCTCGCCACTCTCCCCACTGTCCACATCCTGATCCTCATCACCCCCCTCTGCACCCTCGCCTGAGCTGCTGTCCTCTTCCGAGTCCGTCTCCTCCAGCCACTCCTGAGTTTCTGCAAAAGCAAAATGAACAGAGAATCTGACTGCAGCCTAGGCAGAGCTGTATGACATGAGCTGGCCTCAGCCTAAGGACCCCATCCTATTCGAGAATTGCCACAGATACCTGGCAAACTTCCTCCTATCCAGACACCTGGGATCAATAAAGAATAGGCTGAGTCTCCCTGGACTTCACAGCAGGAAAGAGGTGAGGAACTGGGGTGGGCACCATCTCCAGCCACACTCCCTGAGGGGAGGCCTCCCCTGCACCCTCTCCATTTGGGCCCTGGCTGTGGTTCCCAGAGATGGTGATAGACCCTGTGCCTGTGGTTTGGTCCCTTTCCCTAAACGTGCAGGTTCTGCTTGATGTTAGGCTCAGGTCTTAAGAAAGATGAACACACTTGGGTCCAGTGGCCAGCCTAGGGTAAAATGGAGATGAAAGGACTCAAGGAGCAAAGATGGAGTTTGGGTCAGGAGACAAAGCCACAAGCATGCTAGGGAAAACATACAGTGCACACAGCAGGCAGTCCCCAGAGGTGGCCTCTGTGCTGTCACCACCTCGTAAGCACTCAGGGCAGGGGATGGGCATGCACCACTGACCCACTCTCTACACCTGGACTCTATTTTTAGGAAAATGTGGCCCACAGGCAAGAGCACAATTCCCTGCTAGGTTTGCCAGCACAGTGCAGTCTTTGAAATGACACAAGCTGGTGGCACAGGCCCTCCCCACAGTGTGGAGAGAAGTCACCCTGCCAGCTTACTTGGATCCATCTCTACCAAGGTTTCCACTCTTCCATCTTGTGGAGATCAAGACAGTAAAGGTCACTGAGGGTCACCTGGCGATCACCAGCTTCAAACATGCCACCATAGACATACAGCAGCCCGTGCTTGACAGCCAACATGGCGTTGGAGCGTGGACACGGTTCGACTGGGGCCCTACTAGGCTCCAGTGTACCATCTTCGTCCTCGGGTGGGGGCCCTGCAGCCAGGCTTGGGGCTGCAAGCACTTGCTTAATGGTCACCACAGTCCCATCCTCGGCCACCACCTCTTTGACCACCTCCAAGGGCTCTGGGGAATTGGCTACACCCTGCTCCTGCTCACTGGTATTTTCGCACGCCTCTGCTTTACCCCGCCTCCGTTTCTTCTTCTCTGACTTGGGGCCCTGTTAACAGAAAAGCGCACATAGTGACAGCTGCACAGTACAGCAAGGGACAAGCCTGCCCCTAATACACCAGTCATGGGTTTGTGGGGACACAGCATGGGATTGAGGGACCAAGAACAGACACTTCTTCCATTCTCTAATGGTAGGATCAGGAGGCCAGGCCAGTATTCCTTGCTCAGTGCTGGACTAGGAATCACCTGTATCCCACACTGGGAAGCACTGGGCCAGTACCTCAGGACGAGACCTTAAGGCTGGTCTTTTTTTTTTGGAGGGGGGGGTACTGGCTCTTGAACTCAGGGCCTCATACCTGCTTTAACACTTGAGCTATTCTACCAGCCCAGTAAGGGCTGTCTTGGGAAATCCATACCACCCACAAGGGCCGACCAATAAGGGCTTCAGAAGCCAGTGGTTCTGACTCTCCCTGTCCACCAAAGACGAGATGAGACACCAGATGGATCAGCAGTCCATGCCCATCTATGTGCACTATACCCAGAGTGCAACCCTCAATCTCCTACATCTCAAAGGTGCCCTTCTGTCAGGTCCCCTCCTGCAGGATAATCAACCACCCTATCTCTGTGGCCACATCGCAAGGTAAATCTGGACCCTTCTGCTATCACCTCTGTCATTTTCTTGCAGAAAGCCATGCTCACAAGATGACATTTGCCATGTTATAGTCCAGTGTTTCAACTGTCACTACCTCCAAGTGAACCCTAAGTCAGCTCTACATGCTAGATGCTCGGAACTACTCTGTACTGAGATGCAACAACAATCCTCACAAAGGACAGTCTTAGGTCCCACCATCTTCAGAAACAGCAAGGGGTCCTGAGACTGCCTGCTGAGGCTTGGCACTCTCAGAAAAGCCTCTTGTGTGGCTTCTGCATGGCACAGCTCCTCCTCTCTGCAGAGGCCTGTGTAGGTAGGGGGAGCAGCGTGCACCTGAGTCCAAGACTTATCCAAGGGAGCTGGAATCTGCAACAGGCACAGATACTCCTTTATCAGTTGATCTCATACACTCACACAGACCCCGAGGCGGCCTGGGGGTCCCTTCTGGGACTGTCATGTGCTCTTCCATCTTGCTGGGTGGGTCCTAGACAGCAGCTGTGCTGACAAGAACAGTATAGGGTGATGGGAAACGGGGATGAGCTCAGCAGTGGAGACACAGGCATGCTGCAGAGAACTTCAAGCACACCCTTGTGAGGGCACAGGTACTTCTGGAACCTCAGCCCTGGGTCAGGGACCACCTGGCAGCTGGGACCAAGAACAAGTCAAGGGGCACCAGTCCAAGGGTCTGTGAGCCCAGTCACCCTTTCTGAGAGAGTGCTGGGCGTCATGGGCCAGCACCTCACCAGGGAGAAGGAAGCACCAACACGCCAGGGCTTGTGGGGCGCAGCCCCCAGGGCCTGTGCCAGATGATAAGGTACAGACTCTCCACAGTCCTGAGCTACCTTCAGCTGTCCCGCAAACCAGCGGTTCCTGATGGCATCGTAGAAGTACAGGTCGTTGAAGAACATGCCTTCCAGGCTCTCTTCCTCTTCCTCATCACAGACACCCCCAAAGAGTAACACCTGGTGATTTGGGGCCACAGCCACTGAAAAGCCAGACCTTAGGGTGGGCTTGATCCCTGAAGGGTTAATCCGGGTCCACATCCATTTGCCTGTCAAAGAAGAACAAGAAGCAGGGTAAGTGAAGCAAGAGGAGACTGAGAGCTGGCCAAGAATATACTGAGGCCCTTCTGGGCACCCACAGTATGCAAGCATACAGGCAAAAAATGTGCCTCACTCTGCAGACTCTGTTCAACATCCCCTGAAGTTTCCTCCTCTCCTTAGGGCTAAGCTACATCAGACTGACTTTGTTCAGGACCCCAAGTGGTCACTTAAGAGGCCACTGCAAATCACAGCTGAAAGGCTAGCGGACCCAGGCGCCAGAGCTCATGCCTGTAATCTTAGCTACTCAGGAGGCAGAGATCAGGAGCATTGCAGTTTGAAGCCAGCCTGGGCAAATAGTTTGTGAGACCCTATCTCAAAAAACCCTATCACAAAAATTAGGCTGGTGGAGTGACTCAAGATGAAGGCCCTGAGTTCAAGCCCCAGTACTGCAAACAGAACAAAACACAAAAAGGCTAGAGGAGATGAAGCATGGAAGCAGACCTCAGCAGGAGGGACCTGGGCTGAAATAGGCTTCTCATGGGTCCTCATGGGCAGAGCAAGCACAGCCTCACAAAAGACTGCATCCTCCCTGCCCTAGTTTGTTTCACACCAGCCCAGCCCAGTGCTAGATCCATGGCTAGTAAAGATCCTTCCACAGGAAGGGAGTCTGCAACAGGCACAGGTGTCCCCTCTGCTGCAGCGACCCTAAACCAGCTAACTTGACCACTCATGCAGACCCCATCTCTCCTGCTGGCGAGATCGACTTCATGTTCTTCCTTAGGTTCATGTGACAGCCATCCAGTACGTGGCCTGGTGTGGGAAAGTCTTCCCCACTACTTCCAGAAAAAAAGAACTGAGATTTCAGTTCTTTCCATTAAAAAGTAGCAACAAGTATTCCACTTGGCAATAGTGGACAAGGCCTACTGTGCACAGTGCAGGAAGGACTCTGGGTCTACTTCTTGTGGCTATGAGATCGACTCATCACAAAGAACCAGAGAAGAACAAAATAGTAGAGCACAAAGCACAACGTGCAGAACCCTCTTTCTGCTGCTACGTGTCTGCAAGACATCCTTCTTACTGGGGGTTGAAGAAATGAGCACCAGGCTGGGGCACACTACCTGGAACAGAGTCCAGTCTTCAGGTTCAAGTTTCCTAAGGACAGAAAACCCTGGTTTGTCCTCACCAACCCCTGCAAGTGCGGAATTCCGTGGCCACCTAAGGGTGTCTAGGTGTGGGACATTTCAAAGGCCTCAGCTGGCCTTCAGCCCTGGCACTGAAGCCCAGCTCAGGCCCAGTCCAGGCTCCCCAAAGGTTCGGCGCCATGTCCTAAATCTCTGGTAGTGCTCCTTGCAGAGCAGGATTCCAAGCCCAGGGTAAGCATGAAGGAATTCAACATCCTAAAATCAGCCATGTGCTCTTTAGTGAGAACATACAAACTCTTTGACACTAGGACATGACTGCAAACAGCAGCCTCTCCTTCCTGCCTCTCACCCCACATCTACACATCAAGGCTTCCACGCTCAAGAGAGTATGTGCAGCAACCCTGCCCAGAAGAGCCACCCTGCTGTCACCCGTCACCTGTAAGCCTGGAGGCCACACCCAGAAATACAACATGTTACAAATCACATGGAGGTTGGCACAAGTGGCTGAGAGGTTCTGGACTCCTGGTGAGTGCCAGGGGACGCTAGAAGATCATCCTTAAGTCTGACGAGGCCCCCTGTCCTGGTCCAGGGCCCAGGGAGCTCACTGCCAGCCAGCCTCCATGTCCACACCAGGGCAGTGCACACTTTAAAAAGTGGCCTGTGCCCAGAGCCCCCAGCTATAGCCAGCCTGGTTACCTTCTCCCCCTTCCTCAGACTTCAGCAGGAACATATCTGAGTGCTGGGTGCCTCTGTCCACATCTTTCTTGACTCTCTGCAAATGGAAAAGGAGTATATGAGAACCACCTGGGCCCTGAAGCTGAGATACACTTCTGGTGGGAGGCTCAGCTCCACAGCAAATTTAGTCTTTGTGGCTCTATGTTGATGGCAGACATGGCTGATTAATTAACATGCCAATCTTAAAACCCACCACCAGTGACCAGTCACGCCAAGAACCACAGGTGCACGCTCCATGAAGCCTTCCCTCCTGTGGCATCCACAGCCAGCCTGCACAGTGTAGACAGGAACCATGGACAGCACAGGTCAAAAGCACCTCACACCTTCCAAGGACACAGCCACCACCATTAAAAGACCTCCAGAACTCTGGAACCAACAAAGCTCCCGTCTCTTAACCCTTGGTTGTGAGCTTTAAACAGTCTCACTGCCCAGCCAGCCAGGGACAGCACTCTGAGGCCACAGTGACCTACCTGATCCCCATTCAGCACCCCAGGGCCCAGACAACTGCTCAGCAAGAGGCTGACCCAAGGACGACTCCAGTCCACTCTGGTGTCTTTCTTGTGTATGTCTTTCCTAAAATTCCCCATTCTAACACACATTTGTTATTTACAGGAAAACAGAATACAGTACAGACCTCCTGTCCCCGGCACACGCACCTTACATGAGCACAGTACACAGTTCAGACAATGCAGCAACACTCATCAAATGGTATTAACCCAACCCCATGCTTTACTCCTGTGCCAGGACCCCATTCAGAACACACATGACTGTGTGTGTCATCTTGTCACCTGGCTGAGTTCATGTCTGTCAGTTCCTGCCTTGGAAAGTTGCTACTTGTCCCCTCCATCTGTGCTATCTGGAAGTATGCACCATGTCCTGTGTCCTGAGGTCTGCTTCTGCAGACAAGGCTTGGGATTCCTCTCCCCCCATTTCTCACACTGTGCAGCCTTGGACACTGGGAGCACTTTCTGCTGGCTCCCATTGTCCTCCGACAGACCCCAGACTATGGGTTTTGTTTTCACTTGCTCTGAGCACTTCAACCTTGGCACTAAGACATTCTCTAGGTTCATCTAGGGAGCCCCCTACAGAAGCCCTGGTTTCTCATACTGGAGAGTCATGACAGAAAATGACACCTGGGGGTGCTGCTTCCAGGCCCTCCCCAAGGTCAGAGCAAAGAGATGTGGGTGTACAGTTCTTTTCCTTTTTCTATTAGTACTGTGCTTATTGTAAGGAGAAAATATACTTTCCTTTCAAACTAAATAAACAATCCAACTGTCCATGAACACTTTGCATTTCCACTTGGGCCTATGTGTGCCAAAGCCAAGGAGGCTCACCATCAGCCATAGGTCAACAGCAACCCAAGTCTTGGGGAATGAAAGCTCCAAGTTTTGTCTTCATTCTAGAAACACGTGAACTACCCAAGTGATGCAATTACCACACATAACACACAGTTACTATCAAGGGATCTCCTTTTTCAAAGTTAATACAGAAGAAATGAGTACTTTGTGCCTTTTCTTCCAAACCCAAAGGTCTGTTACTAAGAACTGAATTCACCCAGAGGCCTAGCGTCTGCTGAAGGAATTCAGTAACACCTCTATTTGTCACTAGAAACCCAAGTCACAGCTTAGCACCAGCAGGTCTTTGCTGCAGCCTCCTGCATACCCTGCACCTACTGACACCATCTTCTGTCTGACTGACAGCAGCATTTCCTTCCTAGAATCAATAGCTGAAGGGAAATCTCAGTGGTAGGGAGCCAGGACACATCATGAGTACTGAACTGCTAGCAGGTCTGATTCTCTTGAGCATGCAGCTGGCTGCAACTCTCCCAAGCAGACAACTAGTTCCCAGGTGAGTCCTACCCAGCAACCTTTTGACTCCTTCTTGAAGAGCCCAGTTCCCTTCCTTCAAGTGTTGTGACTTGTCCAAAAATACATCTATTCATCTTCAAAAAGGAAAATCAAGAAGCTGCTTGTAGTACTTCTTAATGTGAGTTACCTGTGCCATGAATTATTTTTGTGTCACAACAGCTTTACATTCATGGGCTTACTTGTACTAGAAAGTAAATAATTTGCATGAATTTTGGGAGATGGGTCGGGAAGCCAGAAGCTCTGCTTAAGGTTCCTGCTTTTCAAAGGACCAGCCCCTCATCAGCAGCTCAGGAAGAGCTGATGTTAACATCAGAGTGGTGAAATTAGAGACAAGTTATTCTACAGCCATACTTCTGTCTACTCAGTATCAGTAGAATTCAAAGGCATCTGAGAAAAATGTTTTAATGCTAATTTACACAACACTACCATCCCCTCACTATTCAGGGACTGGGTACACCAGCAGAGCTCAGGATGGCAGAGCCAGGATATGGAGAAAAGCATTAAGCTATGCCTAACACAGCCCCAACAGGACACAATTCCAGCACCCGGCCATCTACCTCAGTCTGCAGTCTCCATTCACTTGACCCTGAGCTCAGATACAGACTTATTTAAACTGTCAGGATGGCAGAAGACATGGCAGGGCTACTACAAGGTCCCCAACATCCACTCAGACCTAATCCCTGAAAAGGCAATTAGAGTGTCACATCATGGGGTGGGGCTACAGTGACCAAAGCTGTGCACATCAGGCAGAACACAGCCTCTGTGGAGCCTACAAGGATCTAGAATGATGTGGGCTCTCTGGGCCTTCTCAAAGTCCCCCAAAAGGGGTGGGAATGGGTTCTACATAAAGCAGCTATGACCAGGTCAAGATGTGAAGGAAGTCTTTACTCCCACTTCTGGCATAGAGAGCAGGGAATGTTTCTCCTTTTTTCCTGCTATACTAAATTTCTTTCCTAATAAGCTTAACTATTACTCTTAGTACAAAAAAAGACGCGAGGCAAAAGAGAAGGGGCTGAAGCTCCCTTCAAGGAACCTGCCTTTCAAAGGCCAGTTAAACCAACTTGAGCCAGCACATCAGGACCAGATTCTGCCAAGAAGAAAAAAGGCTGCGCTGGCCGAAGGCCAGTCTGAGGAAGCACTCCAGGGCCATGCAGGTGGCACAGGGTGATGCTGAGAGGAGTCCAGAGCACCAGCCCTCCCAGGAGAGCTGAGAAGCATGGTACCATACCAGTGGTCAGGACCAGAGGCTGTCACAACAAGCACCTCAGCTGGAGCCATTCTGCTTCATGACAACTGAAAACCAGATGTGTACTGGAGTCATGTGCATAGGTCAGGGTCTTTGCAGAGTGGAGAGACAGCAGCTGCCTTCCTGCCCCTGCCCACCTCACTGGGACTTTTAAAATAATCTTCAGCATCTCATCCTGATTCTCTGGATTCACAGCTATGGAATGTTTCTAAAGCCAAGCACAATGATGGCTGAGGCCTCCAGGGCTGATGTCTGTGAAGCAGAACCACAGGAGCCATGCTTCTCACGTGCTCCAGTGCTCCTGATGACTCAAAGACGCTGCTCATCTAGCTGTCCAGCGTGTTCCTGAGCTGCTTCACCAGACACGTGCTCAGCAACGCTTCTCTTACCATGTCCCACAGCTGCAGGCAGCTATTGGAAATGCAGAGGCTGAGAAGGCACTGTACTCAGGAAATTAGAAAATATTATGATACTCTGAATTCACTTTTACAATTTGTAAATTTCAGCTAAAACAGGCTTTAGAGGGCAATTTATGACTTTACCTTTTTTTTTTTTAAAGATCTAGCTGGGCACCTGGGCAAACAGTTCATGAGACCCTATCTTGAAAATACCTATCACAAGAAAGGGCTGGAGGAGTGGATCAAGGTGAAGGCCTTGAATTCAAGCCCCAGTACTGCAAACAAACAAAAAAAGGATCTAACACTGGTTGAACTTCAAGTAGTCAGAAAAAAAGAGTAGATCCAAAAGTGAGTAGAAGGACAAAGGCCCTAAAAGAAGAGCATGAACAACATACTCAACAGCAAGGACAAGAGCCCAAGTCAAACAAGTCCCTGCGAGAAGCCAAGAAAGCCAAGACTACAACAAAAATACCAATGTCAGCAAGAGGGGATGTCAGAGCAGGCTTTACCAACACTAAAACATAGTAAGAGGACACTACTACCTAAAAGAGGGAGCCACAAAGATGAAGTGGACAAGTTTCTTGAAAAATACAACCTATGAAAATGAACACAGAATGACCAAATCTATGAGCCCCAAATCTCTCAAAGAAACTGAGTCCATTATCAAAAACCTTTCAACTAGGAACACTGTTAAGGTGAATGGTTTTCCGGGTAAATTGTAGTAAATACTGCAGGAATAAACACCATCAATCTGACACAAAACCATTTAAACAGAAGAGGAGACATCCCCCATCTCCCATGCCCACAGAATACAGTTCCGAAAACATCCCAGAATGAAAACTATGGAGCAATTTCACCGTAAGTGCAGGTACAAAGATCTCCAACGGATTATTTGCAAATTCGGCCATGTGTGAGGAGGATGATACGAAAGAATCAAGCAGGGCACTCCACAAACAGATGAATGCTTGGACATTAGAAAATTAATCAAGGTAATTCACAAGATAAACTGAATTAAAAACTGTATGATCATTCAATGAATGAAATTTACTGAAATTTAACAAAACTTCACACCTACTCATGAAAAAGGTTCAGCATGTAAGAAGAGACTGGAACTTAGAACCTGAAGGATGCCCGTGAAGCAGCCACAACTAACTCTGTGCTGAGCACTGTGCCGGGCTGTGGACACCGTTCCCCCACTAACAGTCAGCTTAGGTTGGGTCTTTTCTGCCAAAAGATTTAATCAGTAATAACCGCCTCACTAACGTGCTTCCCAAATGCTCGCTTCATGGACTTTTTGCTCTCTTCATGTCCGGGTGCTGGTTGCTCACGCCTGTAATCCTAGCTATCGTGGAGGCAGAGATCAGGAGGACTGTGGTTCGAAACCAGCCTGGGCAAACAGTTCGCGAGACCCTATCTCGAAAAACCATTCACAAAAATAGGGCTGGCGGAGTGGCTCCAGGTGTAGGCAGGGAGTTCAAGCCCCAGTACCTCAAAAAAAAAAGGGTTGTTATTCTTAGTTTGGCAAGAATTCCACCAGATGCCTTGATTCCACAGCCGATGACCTAAGACAGTTACTGCTTCCCTAAACTTTTAACTCTTTGTCTTCAAAGCCCCCTCCCAACCTGGCCCCTTTCCAATTAGCCAACTGCATAGACTGTGAAGCCATAAACCTGCCCAATCCAGGGGAGGGGCAGCATGGCATTAGAGATAAAACCCAACTGAACTGCCCACTCAGTGTGCTTGCTAACCAGACTCTTTGTCTGTGGTGCACCCTGCTGCAGAAGCAAATTTTCCCTTGTCTATTGATTTCTGAGTTGTGTTGTCTCTCTTGTGACACCCCAATATCTTAAAGATTTTTCTAACATCCTAGATGGAGGGTAGTGCCAGGATGTCAGCGTGCATACCTTCTTCCAGTGCTGCCTGAACACCCTGACTCTGCAATAAGACAAGGAGACAAAGGTATAAGGGTCAAAAAAGGAGTAAGACCACGAGGAAGAGGTGGTGCAGCGCTCTCTCCAGAGCGTGAAGCTGGCTCTTGGTGTTGTTTTATTGCACCTGCCATTTGCCATTGATGATTGTTCTTACTCTTTCTAGCGAGTAAGAGAGAGAGAGAACACAGTCTGAGTCGTTTTCCTTTAAAAAAGAGTAAGAACCATCTGTGTGTTTATTATGGGACCGTGCAATCCCGATGAATCCGAAGCGACTGAGAACACAAAGTGCGAGGTAAACACACAAAGAGTAAAATGTGCTTTTCTACACTAGCAACAAATAGTTAGAAAGTCTAATTTCCACGCTGCACTGCAGCAGCACCAATGCATAAATTTAACACCGACTCTTTTCTTTTTAAGTAAAAATTGACACAGTGATACTAAATCAACAAAGAACCTTGATCAAGTGTGAAGGACTGGAAGCAGCTCGGTGAAAGGCTTGCCTAGCATGCAGAAGGTCCTCAGCACCAGCGGCAGGCATAGGACAGGATGGGATGGGGATGCCAACAAAAAAACTTGAGGGACAGACAACTGGCAGGTGGGCGTAAGTTTGAAAAAGAAGGCCAAGGGTGGATTACTTAAACTGCCTTCACAGCTTACTGCATAAAATGATAGTGGAGACATGGGATGCTGGAACAGGACTGACAAACATACCAAAGGGACAGAACAGACCACCCAAAACAGGCTTGCATTTCTAGTCCCTGGGTCCTCAACTCAGGTCCCTGTGGCATCCAGTGGGAAAAGAAAAGCTTCTTGAGCCATACGCTGGTGGCTCACGCCTATAATCCTAGCTACTAAGGAGGCAGAGATCAGGAGGATGGATTCAGCCCTGGGCAAATAGCTAACGAGGCCCCATCCTGAAAAGACCCATCACAGATAAGGGCTGGTAGAGTAGTTCAAGGTGAAGATCTTGAACTCATGGGGGAAGAGGGGTTCAAGAGAGATTGCTCAACTAAATATAAAAGCTGCAATTATGTCACTTTTAGAGAAAAATATAAGAGAAAATCTTCATTACTGAAGGTAAACAAGGTCTTCTTAGATCACAGAGATCAAAAAAATTGTAAAAGAAAAATACAGTAAGTTAGACTTTAACAAAGTTTCCATTCCTCAATAAGCACCTTATTGCTCCAGGAAGACCTACAAACAATAAGCTCAGGACCATCATCAGAGAAATGTGAATTAAAACCACAAAGAGAACCAAATAGCCAGGCACCAGTGGCTCATGACTGAATCCTAGAGACTCAGGAAGCAGAAATCAAGAGGATCACAGTTCAAAGCCAGCCCACACAAATAGTTCAAGAGACCCTATCTCAAAAAAAAAAAAACAACCCATCAGAAAAAGGGGCTGGTGGTGTGGCTCAAGGTGTAGGCCCCAGTCCACAAAAAAAAATAAGAAAAAAAAAAAAGAGAACCACACATCCCTCAGAACAGCTAAAAATAAAAACACTGACACCAGCTCAAGCGCTGACAAGGAGTGAGACAAGCAGAACTCTCAGAAGGTTTTGGAGTAACTGCATTGGAAGCCAAGCCCATTTGCAAACCAGTTCCTCCCCAAGGTGTTCACCTAAGAGAAACCAAAATATATACCAGTCAATGACCATAAGAAAATGTTCATCACAGCTTTATTTACTAGGACACAGCAAGGGTATCCACCAAGAAAAAGTAGAAACACAATTGTGGTACAGTCATATACAGAACTCAGCATTAAGAAGAAATTAACTAGCTGGCACTGGTGGCACATTGTAATCCCAGCTACTCAGGAGGCAGAGATCAGGAGGATCAAGGTTCGAAGCCAGACTGGGCAAACAGTTCATGAGACCCTATCTCGAAAAAACCCATCACAAAAAAGGGCTGGTGGAGTGGCTCAAGGTGTAGAACCTGAGTTCAAACCCCAGTCTGAAAAAAAAAAAAAAAGCAATGAACTGAAAGTTCTAGAATAAGCAGATCTGCAGATCTAACACTATGGGAAGGATAGGAATGGTACCTGACAATAGAAGGAGGACAGGAACTGGATAGGAGGGCCTAGCAGGAGGAGGGGTGGGCCACACTGCACATATCTCTCACAGCCAGTGGTAACTTTACAAATTAGCACTGACCATTACTTAATGCTACACAGGTGCAGGTATTTAGGGGGACCACAGAAGATGACTGGCAGGATATGGGTACAAATGTGCGAACAGACATATGACCAGGATCTAAGTGGGGTGTGCAAGTGCTCACTGTAAAACTCTTTCACGTTAACTGTGTTTGAGAATTTTCAAAATAAGAATTTTAACCCCTATGATGAGATGTTATTTCATTTCTCAGATTCACAATGTCAGGGCTGGCAAAGAGCTGATGAGGAGCGAGGCAAGAACTCTGGTGTGCTGTTGCCAGTGGTGGTCAGCACCCTGTGGTGCACACTCTGCTAAACCAAAAGAGACTCCCATGCCTGGGCATAAGAATGCTGCTGCTTGCTAGGCATGAGAGGCAGAGATTAGGAGGACTGTGGTTCTAGTTCAGCCTCGGCAAAAAAAAGAGACCTAATCTTAAAAATACCCAACACACTGAGAAAAAGGCTGGCGGAGTGGCTCAAGTGGTAAAGCACCTGCCTAGCAAGTTGAGGCCCTGAGTTCAAATTCCAGTACCACAAAATAAAGAATGCTGCTGTCACTGTGCAGATGTACAAAGAAAAAAAGTCTGTTAACAAAAGACTAGTGATAAACCATGCTCTATGATGGAAGACTATACAGGAGTTGCAGTGTCTATGGCTTAAGAAAGATCCATAAAATACAGAACTGTTCACACTGCAGTGTTCTCAGAGGATGAGAAAGCCTTAAAAAGGCTCACTATGTTCAAAGAGGAACAGGTCCAAATGAATACAGCCCATTTGTAATTCGAATTCATCTTGTGGAAGTTTCCTATAGAGAAATGAAAAACGTCACTCTTCCTGCACTGGTCTTACCTGCTTTGAGTAGCCTCCATAGATGGCTATGCTTCCCTGTGGTGTGACAGACATCAGGCAGCCTGACCTGGGCGTGGGCCCAGGTCCTGATGGGGACAGCTTGCTCCAGGTGAATGTGTCCAGGCTGAAGGCATACACATCACTGTAGTATATGTAATCCCTGGTCGGAGTAAAGGAACACAAGCCATCATGAAGGTGACACCAGGAAAAGGCAGGGTTAAGAAGTGCACCTGACTTAAAATAAAGGTAAGCTGCCTACATTTTCACTATGTTACCTGCTTAATTAAAGTCTAAATTCAAATGAAGGACTGTAAACACATCCGTGTTTACATTTGAAAACTAGAAATAATGCTAGCCCACAGATGTATGTTAATTTAATCTGAAAAAGTCATACTGTATTTCCTCTCTGAATTAACAAAAATCACAATCTCCTTGATAACTACATTAGGTTCTTCTGTGTGTAATTTTAAGACCAATGGTGAGTTATAGGGTCTAACTGAACCATGAGAGTGCAGAGACCCTGGACTGGATGGGAGGGATGTTGAGGGGCAGAGCATCTCCACAAAACTGAGAGACAGAAGCAGATCCTAGGCATCCATCCATACTCAAGCTGTGTGAGGAGGCACCATGTGCTGCCACCCAAAGGTCCTGGGGTCCCGCACTACTCAATACCCTTGGACTTCGGTGCCAAAAGACTCAGCACACAGACTGGGACTTGGAAAGGGAATGAGAATGCCTGGCACAGCACCGCCCTCCAGCTCTGCAGAAAGAAGAGTGCAGCCATGTACAAAGAAAGATCTACCCAGGGTTGGAAGTAACCACTCGTCTTTCTCATGCAGCATCTGAACAGTCCAGTCCTGGGGCTCTAACTCCCAAAATGATGACTGGTGCATGGCAGCCTCTGCTTGGCTGAGCCCTCAACCTCAATCCATTCAGAGAGGACTATGAAGAAGCAGCAGCTGCCAGCTGTGCCCAGGGGTGTATGCCATCTCTGCACTGAAGAAGAGCTAAGAAGCCATGGAGCCATTGCCTGCCACTCAGACCCATGTGTCCTCTTACAAGGGCACAGTTTGCAATACACAACCCAGCATGCAGAGGCTCCAAGTTTTCAGAAGATGCTATGCTTCACTGTTACCTCAGGTTTCATACTGCAGACTGTCAGTAAAGAAATTCTATTCTGCATGTAATATAAATAGCAACTGCCTCAAGGAAAATTTTAAAAGCTGGTATTTAAAAGTCAAACTAATTTAATACAGATGCTGACTACCTCTGTTGTAGTATCATTTTTGCTGTGCGCTCAAAATACTTCCTAAGTAATTTTTAAAAAAAGTAACAGTAAAGTTTATTAGGAGAGGAGCAGGGGAGAAAAGAGAGATAAGCATTTCCTGCTCCCCATGCAGGAATTGAGAGCAAAGACTCCTTTCCTAAGTAATTTTAAACAAGATAAAAGACATGGCTTTAAAAACAGCTCTTGTCTTTTATTTTTTTGGTGATAACTGGGGTTTGAACTCAGGGGTTTATGCTTGCTAGGCAGGCACTCTACCACTTGAGCCACTCCACTAGATCTTTTTGTGTTGAGTATTTTTGAGATAGGGTCTCATGAACTATTTGCCGGGCTAGCTTTGAACCTCAATCCTCCTGATCTCTGCCTCTTGAGTAGCTAGGATTATAGGCGTGGGCCACCAGCACCCAGCCACAGTTCATCTTTTTAAATGGCTGCAAGCTAAAACCACTATAAAGCTTAATTTATGACGTATAAGTTCATAACCATTTATGACCTACAAGGAAGGAGAAGATGAACTGATCTCATGTACTGTCCTGCACACAGCAGTGCACAATTAATCAATGCACGACAAAGTCATGATTTTGCAGCTGCGCTGTGGCTGCCAAGCTGTGTGCCCACGAAGCTGGCCGTGGTTTGAGAGGGCAGTGCTTTCCGTGTACATTCAGAATGGCTTCCCACAGAAAGTTCATCCAATCACTCCAAGAAAAGGTAGACTTTTCTGCTGTTGGTACCAACCTTGTACTCTCATGGAAGCCACCAAAAAGGATTAACAGTCTCTTCCAGGCCACCATACGATGTCCACTCCGACCTGAAGGACCCCCTGTCGATCTAAAATGAAGGGGAGAAAAACAAAAAAACTATGAAGTTACTTAATTTTCTTACTGAGTACCATTTAATTTGATCCACAAACTGCCACAATCATTGACAGCCTAGCTAGCACTACAAGACTTCTAGACTAAAAGTGGAGAAAGTTTATGGCCTGGAGAAAAGATTTCTTAGGTAGAAGATGCTAACTGAATTCCAGAAAGTAAATAATCAGTATGAACACACAAACACACATATGTATACACACACACATCTGCAATGCTGCAGAACCCGGGGGCCTGTACATGTTGGACAAACACCCCACCACTGAGCAACACCCCATTCCCAGTACCAGATTCTGAAAAAGACTAACTACAAAATGTGTGAAGGCACATTTTACAGTGATGAAAGTGTTCTATATCTAAACTGCAGTGGCTGATACAGTTGGCTGATGCTGAAATCCACCCAACTGTACATCCTATTGGATTGTAATGCAATTAAACTTCAGTAAGATGGGTATCAAGCCGGCTGTGGTGGTACACACCTCCAATGCCAGTACTCAGGATGCTGAGGCAGGGGGGATCATAAACTCAAGGCCAGCTTGGGCTACCCAGTGAGACCCTGTATCAAAAAAAAAACCAAACAAACAAGCAAAAACATAAGCCAGGCGCAGGTGGCTCACACCTATAATCCTAGCCTCTCAGTAGGCATAGATCAGAAGGACTGAGGTTCAAAGCCAGCCCAGGCAAATAGTTCAAGAGACACTATCTGAAAATACCCTCCACAAAAATAGGGCTGGTGAAGTAGCTCAAGGTGAAGGCCCTGAGTTCAAACCCCAGTACTGGGGAAAAAAAGAAAGAAAGAAATTCAGACTAAGATACTTCTTGTCACAGAAAAATGCTTATGAAACAGTGAGTGAGATGGCAGGTTACAAAACACATCATTATGCAACATTCCATTCTAAATCATTTTTGTTGTTGTTTTTATGGTTGCTGGGGCTTAAACTTGGGGCCTCCTACACCTCCAGCCACTCCACCAGCCTTTTTTGTGAACAGTTTTTTCGAGATAGGGTCTCATGAACTACTTGTCCGGGCTGGCTCTGAACCACGATCTTCCTGATCTCCGCCTCCTGAGTAGCTGGGTTACAGGTGTGAGCCTCCAGCACCTGGCCAAAGTGGGTTTTGAGTGTTCCATCACTGTCTACCTTCCCTGCACTTCCCAGATTTTCTCCAGTGAACACAAATTACTCTCATAACCAGAGAGAGGGAGAACAATGGAATGAATGGAGGGAAGATCAAGGAGAAGCACGACACTCTCAGATGAGGGTATATCTGTCACAGTATATATAATGCTCAGGCTTGGCTTCTGGCTCCGACAGAGGCCTGAGCTGGGCACCCTGTGTCCGGGAGATTCACAACTGCTGACTGCTAGGGCAGGGTCTTAGCACGAGACTGAAAAAGCACCATGGCATGGGAGACCCTCACAAATGACCTGCCTCACCTCCTACTTGGGAAATCAGGCTCTCCCACTGCCTCCATGAGGACCTCACCAACTCCAGGTGGCAAAGAGTGGTTGTGACCTGAATCACACAACATGCTTACATAACATGTTATTTATTTTCATGCATGCTACATAGTTTTCTCTAAAACTCTCACACAGGGTTTTATGTAAAATCTCATCCAGTCCAAATGGTTACCCTTTTCTTATGTTCAGATGAATCATTCACTGTGCACCATTGTAGCAGGGAAGAGGGCCAGAAGAGAAACAGCTGTTTTCTGAAAATGAGGCAGGGGGAAGGGATGGCAAAGCAGAGAGATAAAACTTAAAAGAATTAAAATATGAAGAAGGTCACACAGCACTGGGGAATGAAATAGCCAATGAAGTCACATACAGCCATATGTGGGATGAGCTTTGCTTTTTTGTTTCTGTAACGTGCTGGTGAGACCTCCTAGTTCTCGGGGCTCAGCCTTTGGACATGAGTCTGCTGAATCTGTGCCAGCACAATAAAACATTGCTTCCTGCTGAACTGCTTCAGTGTCCCATATCTCAGCTTGAAATTCCCTTGATATTTCTTGGGGGTTCATTGCCGGGTTTGTGGAGATGGTGATTTGTCAGTTCCCTTGGCACAGGGGTGCATCCCCTAGACTGCTGGGAGAAGATCCTACCAGGTGCCAACGGTCAGCTTGATCCAGAGGGGGATTCATCCTCCTGGCAAGCTCGGGTGAAGGCCTCACATGGACAACGGAACTGGTGAGGCTCAGGAACTAACTTGGAAGCACTGCTCACCAGATTGGTAAGTACCCGGGTTCAAATTCAGGCCTGCCCCAGGAGGCAGAAGGGGAGACTCATCACCTCCCAGAGACCACTAGTAACTGCATTTTTGGGGTGAAGCAGTGTCTCAGATTCAGGGAGCGGGGCGGAAGTACTGTGCTATGCAAAAGTGTGTAAGACACCTACCTCCGAGGGTTAATGGGAGTTTGAGCTTTTCCTGGGAAATAGACACAACTGAGGTTAAGGGATGGATAACAAAAAATCCAGTTCTAAAGGGGAGACTCCGAAGAGAACAGATGCATCATCCACCATTCCTCTGGATAGCCCTCTGGGTGTAATTAAACATTTTTTCTTTTTTTGAGAGTGCACTCTAATTGTGTGCGTGTGTGTCTTTGCGAATTTGTTTAAAACACTGGGCAAAATTTAATTTGCTCCTGGAATTCCAGTACATCTTATGTGTACTTAAGGTGACATTTTTTCCTGGCATACTTAATTTATAAAGCTTTTATATGTGTGTATATGTGAGCATCTTCAAAATGCTTCTTAAACTGCTGTTATAAGGTTGACGTGATATTCAAGGTAACAAAAAGACCATGGTGTTTGTTTTAAAGATCTGTTACAAACTGCTTAAGCTTTTTACATTTGAATATGTAAACATCTTAATGATGGTTCTTATTATAAAATAAATGTAAAAAATTATTACTCTGTTCTACTGCTACTTTTAAGAAAACAGGTTTTCAAACTTAGTTCAATCAGGTCTCACTAGGACACAGGCATCAGGGGTTAACACTCTGGCTTAGACCAGAGGAAGAAAAAAAGAAAAAAAAGGGAGGCTACAGTGTGCAACAGGAATCTTAAAATTTGGGAAGTTAAAAATGACCTTAGCCTGTTTCATTCTGTCATATATAAAATCTGGGATTTAATTCTCTCTTATAATACATGGGTTTATTAACAAATGGGCTTTCTATAAACTGTTTTTATACAAAAAATAATTTTAAGGTTGCTTCTTTCTAGTTTTTTTTCATACAAATATAAGGGTCTAAGTTAAAAGGTTTTATGAGTTATTTTCAACAAATAACATACACATATATTAAGGATATTAAGAATATAGTTTTTGAAAATAAAATGATAAAAAATACTTTTAAATAAAAAAAAAAGGATAAAGACAAGTTCCCCCAGGGAATACAAAATAAGTTGTCATAAATGTACAGAGTAAGCTGTCATAAAAAGATGGAGCTTATAAATGCTTATATAAATTGACTGAGTTGACTAAAATCCAGTTACATTAAAGGTCAAAATTTAATGTACTAATATTAAACTAAAACTGAATTCTCTAAGCTCATAACAACAAGACTATCTTAAAAATATTGTTAATAACATTTATAAAAACTGTCTTAAAAATGGATTTTATTTTGTCAAGATAAATGTCAAAAATTTTTGGTGCTACAGGTTAATCCACAAATTTATCAAAACAACAAAAGTTTATTAAAACACAGAGAAACAAGAGGCAGCTGAGCATAGGGAGTGCTGCTGCACTGATATGAGGCTGAGACAAATTTACTTATGTAAAGCAAAGTAAACAAAAAACAAAGCCAAAGTACACACTCCAGATAGGATAAAGAAATACAAACTCAAAAAGGAACACTACACTGGATATGAAGACCACCAGTTTTGATTGACGTCAACAGAGTGGAGATGTTAGTCCTACTCTTTCCAAATGTCAGGTGGAGGGAATTTTTGGGCAGACTGGGCCTGTTATTTTAGGGGGACTCCATTGACTACAGGTTGGTGGGATCCTGCTGTATGTCATGAGCCATTTGTTAATGTCAACAATCTGGGATGTGATCCCTTATCAATATCTGAGCCATGATTCTTGGCCATTAGGTTTCCTAACTCCACACTTAGTCCCCATAAATATTTACCTGTGTCCTCTGATGATTTTTGTCGGGATTTTAGCTACTAAGGTAACTGAGTCATGTTCATTAAAGGGTTAGTTTATGTTTGGGTTAACAATGAGGACAGCTATGTTAGGACCAGGCCCCTCCCCCCTTGCAGATGGCTTACTAAAAACTCCCACTCAACCCAAAAGACTAACAAAGAGAAAATTGTTAACCTTTATCTCCCCAGATGGATGCCAAGGACAGTTGGGTAGACAGTGACCTAACTACAACTTATCTTTCTTGGTTGCCCAGCAACAGTATCCCTTAGTGACCTTCCTGGTTATTTTTCCACTAGCCCCCTATATCTAGCCCACGCTTGTGTATGGCAATGGGCTCTAACTCTCTTGCTGGGGTCCCCTCCACAGGGCTCTGACTGAACAATAAACTCTGTACTGGTGTTTGAGTCGTCTCTCTGCCTCTTCCATGCCTCTTATTTTCTAACAGTTTACGTACAATTTTCTAGATGACTTCATGGTTAAACAACTGTTGTCTTGGGTGATTCTAATACAGTCGGTACCCTATATGCGTCTGTGACTGGGCTATTTGGGTTTACTGAAACTGTTCTTCCCCCCCCCCCCCACACACACACAACTGATAAAAATCTAAGGTTTTCCTTCAAGAACAACTAAAATAGAATGTATATATAACCTCTATAGAGCTATGATGCTATTGCTGGTTCCTTATGCTAAATATATTTATGTTCTTCAAGTACATCAAGCCTTCTAAACTACAAAATTTAGATAAACATGGTAACAAAAAGTTAGTGGTTCTGTTAGTTACTAAATTGTCCATCAAAATTTTAACCATGGCTCT